AAGAGATATATAATATATATATATATATATATATATATATAATATAAATATATATATATATATATATATATAATTAATGGAGTAATTACACAAAAAAAATTAATATCATAGTAGTAAAACATCGTAACATTCAATAAACTCAATATATTACAATAAAATTGTATATTTGTATTTTTTGTTATACATTGCAATAGTAGGTAGAAATGTACATTACGTATCCACTACAGAGCTCCTTTATTCCTGTCTACCCAAAGTACTACACCTACATAAATAAGTACCTACTAATTCAAAGAACAAAAGCAATGCATAATTAATATTTATTAACAGTTTAACCGGCACCTAGCCAATTCTGTAGTCTTTTATACTTCTATTTAGCTGATTCAATATAGCGTGCAGACCAACTGAGGTAGAAACGAAAGTCACCGAAGAGAATTAACTATATCTACGAAAGGTGCTAGTGTAATGGATCGATAAAGCAAGGCGTGTAGGCCATTAGTGGTGGTATTTTGGTAGTCGTGGGGACCCCGCTATCCTCGCGTGAATCGAATCAACCCACGTAACAAATACGAATTCTATACAATATACATATCAATGTGAAAATGTTACTATCATTTCCAATAAAATAAACTCAGCGTTTACATTTTGCTGCATTATTGCGTAGCTCTAGATTTTGTATTCAACCGTTATTGTAAAATCCAGAAAATAAGAACACTATTTTGCGAAAGTATTGTAAATGTAAAAATTCAATAACAAATCTATAAATTCTCTTGTCAAACGACTTGCAGTAATGCAATGCCATTTAAAGTTGAGTAATGTTAACTAGCTATTTACCTAAACGATTCGGGTTCCCGTATTCTGGTAAGTGGTCACTGGATTACGCAAGACTTGTATTTAGCGACTTGTTTCTAATAAATGCTTGAAGGTGTCACTTTATTTTCCAAAGTGAACATGACCTTCGCCTTTCTGAGGTGACGTGACTTCGTCGTGTAACATAACGTCAGCGGTAAATATAATCGAATGTTTACGGTAAACCATACGTCTTGGCTATAACGCAGTCGCTCTAGAAAAATCAAGCTAGATACTTTATGTTAAATGGAAATGAACACACAGCTTATGTGTATCAAAGTGTAGTTGTTTATACGCTACCGTAACTAACGCATAACTGTTAATTGTAAGTGCAATTTGATATCACACTGTAATTAAAAAGTTAATCGTGCACAGCGGAATATTGTCTTGCTGTCGTACTAGTTAATTGGCTACGACACGGTAAACAAGGCCATAGTTTAGAGTTTCAAACTGTTACAGTCAGTAAATATTTTTACGACTTTACATAAAATTGTCGTTAAAAATGTGTAAAGCCAAAATCTGCCTTTACGTACAAAGACGCCAGCTTCAGTTATAGTTTGGCTCAAGAATTTATGTTACCGTTAAATATTGTGTTTGTGGTTCATCTATAAGGACCTAGAGAACAATGCGAGTCACCTCCAAACTATAGCTTGTACTACATCCACAAGTCTCTGTCTTAGAAGTTTACTAACAATCTCGTGCGAATAGTGTGTCGTGGTTTGACGATGCCGCTATGATGTGGTAATAGCGAATAGAGCAGCCGTTCGCGCCATTGTAGCTACCGTGCCGGCGCGAAATGCGGTGTGCCCGTGTTGCCGATGACGGCGTCCAAGTAGTGTGCCTCAGTCCGCGACGCTGAGTGCCGCAACGCCGATATAGCTTCGCGCCCGCACCCAAAACAAACCAACGATAATTAATTATCTTCCGCGATAAAACGTTACTATCAGCCCGCGATAAATTCCTAGTGTGATACTGATAACAGATAAAACACAGAGTGGTCGACGTCTGTAGTGCCTTATTATGTAAAGTCCTAAAGTTAGATTCTGTGGAATAATGACGACGGCAACTACAACCCGCAAGAGCATTTCGATCCACGACTACCCGGAGCACCTGAATCCGTTCCGCGAGGATGACAACCACAGCAAAATCAGGTTCTGGACGATGGGCAGAAAACTCAATCGATCCAACAGCATAAATTTCACCGGCATAAAGGAACTCAAGAATTCATGGTAAGTCACTTCATACTTCTTATTTGTTTAAAAATTGTTCTCTCTTTTTAACCTCGTCCGCTTTATTCGATTCGATACGAATTACTTTGCCCTTAAAGCAGCTTGCCCATTAGTGCTGATCATGACCGTACGTTTATTGTTGTATTTAAGATCAATTAGATATCGCATATTTTTGCTTTGAGTTCCTCCTGCTTGTTTGTATGTTCCAGGATCTTACGACATCTGAATTATGACACAATTTAAATTGGGTAGTTCCTCTTGAGCTCTCTTGTTAACGCCTTTCAATTAAATTTTATCATAAGACACACAGTATAGCTAGTAACAATGTTTGCCAATCGCAGACACTTAAAACTAAAGGAGTTATCGGTAGTAGACTGAAAATATTATAAGGCATTATAACACAAATGATATTTATAACGATAAATTCAGATTTCTTATTGTACAGTTTATTTTACAATAAGTATTTTTACCTACTATAGGCAGTAATAACCTACTTATTGACAATAGAATATAAATCTGAGAACTTATAGCTTGTTTTTATATAATATGCAGTTCCTACCTGAGTTTTTTTTATCATTTTTAATAGCTCGAGATATATTTAAACTGCAAAAACATATATTGTTTTAAGTAAGTTATTGCCAATTGTTTTCCTTATGATTATAAAAGTCATAGGGTCTGAATAATAAGTAATAAGGCATAGTCGTCACGTTTATTCTTAGCCAATGTTTTACACAGTGTAAACACGACTAGTTTTCTGCACTGTTTAGGAATACTAATGATGTTAGGTAGTATTTTGTACGTGACATTTTTGCAGACTCTAGTAGAGTTTACTTATTTACACCCCAATTTAGTTACATTTAATATTTTGTTTGTGGCGAAATAGTATATAATTAGTGGTTGTATGTATATTTGGTTGTATATGTGGTTGTATATTTTTCTAGATGTAGAGATTTTCTTTTTGGCTAGCTTTCGGCTGTAAGTTCTTCAATTCATTTTCTCTTTTTCTTTTCGCATGTATCCATTCGTATATTTCCGTCATTAAGTAAATTTTCATGTACTACTACTTATATAATCATTATTATTTAAGTGCACTTAGTACTAGTACACAGAGTAAACAGTTGAAATAATAACAGGAAAACGTCGTAGGGAAAGTACCATTGTACTCTGCAAGTACAAGGAGCCACAGGCTTATTATAGAGATATATATTCATTGTATACATAGAGTTATTTACAACATTTTTATAAAAATGGTTTTTTAAATAACTGGTTTTTTTAATGATCTCAAGTGGCGGGACGAACAAGTCGTGTAACTGGTGATAATCGACAAGCTTGTTCATAACAGTTACAGTACCACTCAGAGCCTTAAATCACAAAGAACTGAGGGGCACTGCCATTGCGCCCGTCACCCTGAGACATAATTTGACCAGTCTCATGTGTCATTTCACCAGCACCCGTAACCTTTCAAAACCGAAACGCAGTAATGCTCGCATTATTCGACTTTGCTTGGCAGCAGAAATAGGCATGGTGGCAGTATCTACTTCCCTGACCGAACTCTTTCACAAGGAGCTCTGTTGCAAGTAAAATCTACTACTTTCTAGATTTATCAAATACATAGGATAAAAACTGAAGATATGACAAAAGTTATCTAAAAATGATATATGTTATAGATGACTAATAATTAATCAGTCATGTGATTCATTTAAGGTTATAAAATATAATAGAGCGGAAGTGTCGTTATCACAAGGTATCACTGTTTTTTTTACAAAATGTTCTTACCTTAGTACCTCAAAAGGTATTGGAAGTTGTAAGAAGTACGTAGTCGTACATAACTTTTTTATTAAAAAAAACAACCTTAAAAAGTTTGGGGATTATTATATTTATTTGCTAAGTTTTATTGAAATCGGTTTACGGAAAGTTAGTGAAGTCTAATAAACCGGGTCCCTTCCCTAATTTGCTACAATCAGAGGCGGAATATTTTCTTCAAATTTGAACGGGACCACTACTGAGGTACCCCATTTCCAAAATAAAGAATATGCGAAAAAAATTCACAAATATCGGAGTAATCGTGTAACATACACACAAAAAAGTACAGTCGATTTGCAAACCTCCTTCTTTATTTTAGGTTTTACTATATATATACACACACTTGTATTAGAATATCACTTGCAGTGCAACGGAACCATATCCATCAACATGTAGCTTGTCGTGCTGCCGTCTGTACAATTTACCAAACTGGCTCAATGCATGTTCAAATTTTATACGTCTTTGAACTTTAATCGCGATAAAGTGAACATGAAATTCCACTTATCCCAACCGGTGACGGTGTGGTAGGGAAGAATGTAAAAAATCCACTTGTCCCCACCAGGGGGGAAAGCTGGTAGGGACTAGTGGAATGGGCTATTTTCTTTCGCCATCAACCAGTTGTAATTGCGAGAGCGAAAAGGCATTATATAGGTGTGCACGCTCCAATCGTCGATCTCATCGTAACATCGTAACTTTCTATCAGGTGAGATGGAGGTCAAATGCGCACTTATGCCTGTGTAATTTTACGTGTGCAAGCGCGCAATTAAAAAAGTCCAACAATGTGCCAGACAGCACAACAATTACCTGGTCTCAAACTAGGGAATTCCCTATACTGTGAGTACTCTTCGTTCAGCGTCCACAGTGCAAACAGAGGCAATGCTAAAAACTGCATTATTCGAAAAACTTGGTGTCCGCCCCCACTGGGAATCAAATCCAAGACTTTTTTTTAACAATACCAAGTGACGGGACCAGGAAGTCGTGCGCCTGGTGGTAAGCGACACTCCTATCCTTAACAGTTATGCAGTGCCACTCAGAGCTTTAAATCGCAAAGATCTTCGCGATACGATCGGGGCACTTCCACTGCGCCCGTCACCCTGACACATAAGTTCACAAGTCCCATGTGCCCGTAATTTCACCAGCACCCTTTCCCTTTCAAACCGGAACACAGTAATCCTCACATTACTGCTTGGAGGCAGAAATAGGGAAGGTGGCAGTACTTCTCCGGATGAACACTTTTACACGGAACTCTACTGTTACCTCCTAAAGGAGGCCTACCGCTTTATTATAAACTGCTGGATTATAAAACGATTTGTCGTAAATGCATGCAGTTGAAGTCAGAAGTGCCGTTATCTGTACTTACTTATTGCATTTAATAGCACTGCGCCATGTGGATCGCCTACTCGCCCGCGATTATGAGAAATCCTACTTTTTAGAGGGGTCAATCGGTCCTCACACGGTGATATAGGACTTGCGACCAGCTTAACATCGATAGTTATGGTGTCGCTCTCCGAGGACCGTCGCTTTGATGCGCGATTCTGTACATTAAGCTTTATACGTATAACTCCTTTAAGCGTGGGAGAACCGGTTTAACTCATAGCACATATCTACGTCCTGATTTTTGATTCAAATTAGAATCGATCCGATCGAATAGTCTCTAAATCACATGGGTTTCTGAGCGAGAAGAGGAACCTGATTCCTATTATATCTTTCTAATTTGTGAGTTAAATCAACTATTGTTCTGATTAGAAATGTCAAATCGGCCAGTTGTGAATGCTAATGGACAGAAGTATCGCTTCAATACAATCGTATCTCGGAGAAAATGTATGGTTTAATGTTCATACACATAATATAAAAGTCTTATAGATTTGATTCAAACATCCTCCATATAGATATAGAGTCTTCCATATGCTGATCATTAGATTTCCTAATAAATACAAGACCGTGACTTTCTTTAAATTCAACCGTTAAACAATGCTTTACCAAAGGACGTTAAATCGTTACCAAATAATATATATTCAGAAAATAAGCTTAGTATATAGCATAATGATAAAAATTACTGCAAAGTGACTGATTTCTTAGATACCTAAATGTCGACATAAAAATAGTTCTTGATGTATTATGTTATAATATTATTTAATTAATATTATAACTTAAATTAATCAATTGACTTCTTATTTATATTCCTTCCCCGATTATGGTCTTATAATTCAATTCATTTTAAGTTTGAATATGGATTCCTCAGGTATAATATATGTCTTATAATACCATGTTCCATCTCACGTTTACCATGTTTTAGGGTAATAAAATTTTATTTAAATTTAACTTTGCGCTATTTACAAGACAGTCCTAAGAGTAAATAAAGCCTTGCATGCCCTGGACTACCAAGAGTTTCCAATAAATTTATATAATAATAACCCTTTGTGAATTAAACTGATCCATTCAAATGACGTATTGTGCATTGTGGTGTACATGACCGACAATAGCGTTTAATGCAGCTTCTGTTACGCCCCACTTTAAAACCACACATCAATTTCATGACCTTTATTTCGATGTGTGTTCAGTCCAGTTTATTCAAGACGATTAATCGGCCATTTAACACTTACCTACCTTCTATGTAGCTCACCCGGCGAACGTCGTAAAGCGAAATAACCCTTGTTCGGTACTGGTGGCATTAGTATACTGCCTTTCCGGTTCTGTATATGTTTAAACTGTTGTACTATTCTGTCTAGTGATTACCTTCATCGAAAGTTTGGCAGACAATAGTAAGAAATAGTAGTTTAAAAGGCATTATAGAGCCAGAAAAACAAAATACCAGTGTCGTTGGTATGTGTTAACCTCATGCGAACGGCTCAGATATTCTGTACGTAATGTGAAGTAGCAATACAAGATATCTATCTACTCATATCATAAGTTCCTAAAGGAGAGCTGTGCAAGGCAATTGTTTAAACAGAATGACATAGTTCATTAATCGTAACGATTAATGAACTATGTCATTCTGTTCTGTCACTCACCTATAGAAACAGATCGCAAAGGCTTCAAAGCTTTTATGCCTTCTCTGACATGTAGACTGACCAGAGTTTTTCTCTCTATTACTAGAATTTGAAGTAAAATAACACGTCTACCTAATAATAACATCAGAAGCAGTGTTTTTAATATAAACAAACACACATTACCCATACGTACAAAGCTGACGTGTT